CGATTGACTTTAACCAGAACCGGTATAAACCTTCGCATTTATATGGCGTCAGCGACGGCGTCAGCAAAATACTGGCTCGAATCTCCTTGGGTGCACATTTTTCTCGTGACTTGGACATTTTTCCCATGGACAAAAAAGTGTGTCAGTCCCGAGAGCACCTCTTGGAGTCGATCCTACAAGTAACCTTGTGCCACTTCCATCGAATTACCCGTCCTGGCCACAAGAGGTTCCCAGTTGAGGGTAAATTCTGTGGGTGGAGAGTGTTAAGGAGGACCCGATTGGCAAGGTATCAGTCGATTGACTTTTACCAGAATCGGTGCACCTTCACACCATTGGCCGCCCATGGGCTCTTCATGGGCTGCCCATGGGTGACCTCTGTCCCGCTATTAGACTTGGGTGTCTTCTTCAGTACCCAGCTGGTTAGAGCAGTCGACACAAAATATTGATGATGCGTTCACTCGCACACATCCCCCCTCGGGGACTAACGATTGTTGTTTTGGTTGTCTTCACCGCGTGGAAGCAAGACTAACCGAGGTATCGAAATCCCCAACTGGAACCATCACCCACACTAGGTAGGTCTCCGTCCACGGCATCATCATCAACACATCTATATCTCCTGTGCCAAGAGCAGGGCTCGAAAGCCACAGCAACGTGCATGGCGTTGGCTGCCATACCGTGTTGGGCCGTCTTGCAAGAGGGCTCCATACATACGCGATGTCTTGGGATGATGGCACAGTTTCATTCGCTGGAGGTGCACACGTGTGTCAATCCCACCTCCCGAGTAGCGGTCCCCCAGCGAACGGGTGGTTATGTTAGCAGGTCGCAGGAGAGAATCAAAACAAAAATCCAATGACACGAAGGTAGGGCGGGGCGAACCTCGATTCTCGTTTAAACCTTGTTCTGTTGTTGAACACCCAACACCACTCACTCCTCCTCCTCCTGTGTAACCCCCGGCATCAAAAGCGACAAATACCCGGCATATACTATTGTTATTTACAGTCCATCTCTCCGGAAAACAAACAAAAACGAAAAACCACCAATCCATTTACCTCACCAAGGCGCCAAGGTATGGTACATGACGAATAGCCCCCCCGCTGCTCGCCCTTGACCAGCACATAGTTGTCACACCGATGCCAACATCCTCCCAGCCAACAGCAAGGCAGCCCATCAAGACACCATTTAGGCAGAGTCCATCTTGACAACTTTAGCTAGCGTACGCTTCCCTCCGTGAAAGCAAACCCAAAAAAATAACCGAGGTAGTCATGAAGCCGAGGGGCAGACAGACGCGCCTTTCGCTCAATATTTTGTCCCTCGCTTCCGCGATTTGCTCGCCCCTTCCAAAACAAGCCGAACAAGGGTTGTGTCGCGGTCTCCTCGTGGATTTCGACGCACGCGTGTTCTTCAAGACGACCTGAAGCGACCGAACACACGCAGCATCCTTCCTCGGCTCACCCTCACCCCTCCTCTATCCTGGTTGTGTGACCAAACAAGACATCTATAATACGAAAGGTAGGGTAACATTCGGGTTCGAAAACCCGGATATTGTAGAGAGGCGGGAATTGACGGCGGGCGCCTCTTCACTACGCGTCCCCGACACTGGCATCTGGTCTATCGCGGCAGACAACACAGGCCCGGCCTGGAGAAGAAAACCTTTGACCTTGGCGGGACCAATCTTAAGCCGGCCAACTTGCAAAGCGTCACCTCTCTACGGACGGTGTCTGGCCTTCTCCTTCGAAAGCAACCACTACGACCATGTGTTCCAGAGGCGTCACAACAAACACCTCAAGACTTGGCTGAGACCCAACCATCCCTGCAGCAAAAGAGCCGCGGGAAGAAAAAGTGAGCACACTCCCGCTCTCCTCTCTGGGCACCGTGCACACACCGCGCCGGAAAAACAAAAACAAACAGTACAATCACGGTAATAATAGACACCGGAAGAAGAACACTCTCCCTCGCAACCCTTCCACTCCGCGCTGCTTGAAAACGCCCGCAGGTGCTCGACAACACCAGGATCCTCTCCTGTGTCCTCGCCCACAAGGGGGCGCTACAACATACTCTCAGTCCGAGGCTCTCGACTCCATTGGCCGAGACACCAACGATATAACAAACTACACAACAATACGCGCGGTGTGCCTTGGCAAGCGTCTTAAATGACCACATTCCCGCTTAGCCCCCGCCCCTCCCAAGTAAATAATAATGTTCGTGATTACACGCACCCCCCTTTGTCCCCCTCCCCTTGAGCCCCCTGTCTTGTAAACTAGAGGCGGAAACATCCCCACTTCTCATCACCCAGCACTCAGCACCACGGGCGACAGCGGTTCGGTCAACGCGATCGTCACGAAAGCGCCGACGATCATGGCAACAAGGACGCAACAACCCCCCCCCCCCCCCTCGCAGAATACATCCGGTCTATCATAGTACTCAACAGCAATAAGATCTACCCACCACAGCCCGCATCTTCAAAAACCTTTTTCGATAACTGCGACGGGAGGTAGAGATCAGATGGTCTCCATGATCTTGTCAAGATCTCGTGGTCTCCATGATGTTGTTAAGATATCGCCGGTCATCAAAGTCAACAAAATGTATTCAGTGCCAGGTAAAAAACACACACCGGCTGCATATATCTAACCAATGACGACCCTCCGGTCCGCTTTCGACTTCGTACATGCGCTTGTAATCGATCCCGGCCCCAAGCGCCAAGCCCCAAGCGCCACCAATAACACGAACAACAAGTGTACCGAAGAGTCAAACCGTGGGAGACTTCTGTCGGCGGCAAGGCCACAACACGTCTACACCAACTACCATGCTGTGAACCCAAGTCCCCGTCGCCCCGCCGCCGCCGCCGCTGCTGCTACGCCCGTCCCAACCACATCACGCGAAGCTCTCCGATATCGTCTCGAACAAAAAATAACCCGCCCCGCCTTCACGTTACGCCACGGTTGCCGCCGCCTCCGCGATCGGTAGACTGTTGGTGCAACAACGATAGCCGTGCCACGCGAGAAGTCGCGTCCGCCTGCTGGCCCTCTGTGGCCGCCGCCGCCGCCGCCGCCGCCGCAGCTGCCGCTGCCGCCGCTCCCCCTCCGCCCTCCCTGAGGGCCTTCCCTCGACGGGTCTCCACCGACAACCCCCCGGCGGCGCCTCTGCCGCTGCCCCCTTGCAGCGCGGAAGCCGGTGGCGGCGAACCTTTCTTGCCCGCTCCTACGTCCTCGTTTGCTTCCTCCGCCATCGCAGCGCCGTCTCTCCTTCGCAACCCCGACCGCTTCCCGGCCACCGACGGGGCCAACGAACCGTCACCAGCCACCCCTCCTACCGGCAGACCTCGACTCCGACCCCGCCGCAGGCCTCCCCCTCCTCTTGCCGCTTTTACGCCTCGTTTGCCCTTTGCACCCTGTGCGCTAGCAGCGTCCCCTCGAAACCCCCCCCGCTTGCTGCTGTCAGTGACGTGATTCGGAGAGTTGCGGCGGCTGCTACCGCCGCTGCTACCGCCGCCGCTGCCGCCACCGCCGCCGCCTCCGCCGCTAGCGGAAGCGTCGTGGTGACGGCACCTGCGATGTCGAGGCTCGCTGCACCCGCCCGCCGCCGCAGCCGCAGCCGCCGTTCCGGGCCGGCCGGGCTCCGACCTCGGCCTTAGCAGCTGAGAGGGAGACTCGCCCAAAGCCCCAAAGCATTCGTCCTCGTTACTATAGTCGTCAGACGCCGCCGCTGCCGTTGCCGCCGCCGCTGGCAACGGCACCGTATAGCCGTGGACGCCCATCTGGCGGTGGGAATCGCCGAAACCACCGCCTCCGCCGAAGGCGCTAGCTATCCCTCCAGCACCGGCGCCGAAGTCGCTGGCGTACGCCCTACCGAACGTCCCTCCTATGGCTCCTCGCTCGTCGTCGATGTGGTGCCCTTGTGAGAGGAACAGGCTTGACATCGCAGCCGACGACACCGCGCTTTTTCCATCGGCCGGGGTAGTCGCAGCGGCGGAAGCGGCGGCGGCGGCTTCCGCGACGGCGGAGGAAAGCTGAGACTGCATCGCGTCGGGCGTCGTGAGGATCGCGCCTCCCTCGCGACCGAACCGGTCACCGACAGCGACCCCCGTGCCGCCGTCGGCGGGAGCGGCAGCTTCGCCGGACATGGCGTGGTCGTCTCCGTCCCCATCTTCGCCATCCTCCGCTGCTGCTGCTGCTGCTGCTGGCCTGCTGCTGCTGCTACTGCCGCCCCCGTCTTCCGTCATCGCTGCTGTCGCCACCGTTGCTGCGTCTGCTGCTCCCGCTGCCGCTGGAGCATGTGACGTCGGGTGGTGGTCTACAACGAACGGGTGCAGCAGCGCTTCCGCCGGCGTTATCCTAGGGGAGGGGAGAGCGACCGTGGACAAGGGGGGTCAGTCACGCTGTTTCTCTCGCCTTTTGGGCATTTCAGGGAGACAACAACCTACGCCTACTTGGAGAATTGGTATCTAATGCGTCTCCCCCCGTTGGCGTAGGTTGTTGGATCCAATGTGCTTCTGCTACTATCGCTCGGAGGGACTTGTGACCCAGTGTACGAATTTCGGTGGCTGTACATGCAGCGGTGATACAAGCCGTCACTTCCCTCGAAAACGGGAAAATGTGTCGAAAAGAACAAACCTTTGTGCGGCACGACGCGACAACCTCGCACGAATACATTTGGACGATGACCGAACGGCACAGGGGCACTCCCTCCCCATCTCGTCGCACAAAACATGCATCTCAAGGCGAGGCCTAGTCGAGAGATACAATTAATCGCCTTCAAACACCAGCGCTTTTGGAGTAGCTTTGCCGGTTCTCGCCATGCATACTCGGGGCTACAAGGCGGTGGAGTAGACAAGACACATCATGCTGGATTCGCCCGCCTTTACGAAAGTCCATACCAGCTATCTCACTCCCGCCTGCTAGGGCACACAAAAAAACCGTCTGTACTTGGTGCCAAAAGCGTACGCAGTCTGTGTCGGCGTCGGTCCGACCGACCATACTCCACACCGCCATCGTGGAGCTAGCTTACGCCACAACACTGCACCCATTGTCACCACAGCGTGGCCCATCACGCGGGACAGCTCCAGACCCGCCCGTCAAAAAAAAAAAGCTCACATGTACCCATGTACCGCGCCACAAACGCCGTCACGGGATGCCGGGTCCGCTCTCACCGGAAAGTTCTTGACTAAAAAAATAAGCCCAGTATCCACCCGGTTTGCCTCCCATTCACTGCAACCCATCCCCTTCAAAGGTGTGGTGTGGCGATATCTCGAACGGGTCGTCTGTCGTTTTTCGATAATATCCATATTTCCTATAATAGAAATTCTGACAAGTTTCCATCTCTCACCTCGTCTCGGGCCTTTGGTCCAGCATCCGCTCCACCAGGTTGACGAACAGCCCGTACGTCTCTGGGTCGTGGCCCGCCTCCCCTTCCCTCCTACCGCTCGGCCCTCCAGAAAACACGCCTACCACTTCCGACAGCGGCACCCGGGGTACATCTCGACTCTCCCCCCCGGCCGCCCCCCCGCCGCCGCCCGCGCCGCCGGCTCTCGCTCGCTTCTCGAGAAGGTTTCTCCGTAATCGATATCGCGGCCTGCCCGCGTTGCTCGTTGGACTCGCGTTGTTGTCCGTGTTCGTACGCCCGTCAGGCGAAAACTCGGCCATGTTGTGGTCGCTGTCTTCGTCCTCCTCCTCCTCCCCCTCCTCCTCCTCCTCCGCCCTGTCTTCCCCGCCCCCCTTTCCCTTCCCTCTCTTATCTTCCGCCCAAGCTAACGATGCGCCGCCGCCGCCGCCGCCGCTACCACCGCCACGACTTGTGCCGACACCTCTCGAGTCGTCCCGTTTTCTTCGGCGTTGGCGGTCGCTGGGACTGCGGTGGGTTCCTCCCCTTACCTGTCGCATGGAGCGCGTGTGGGGGTTGCGTTGGACGTCGAGCTTGTCGACACAAAATTCATGCAGTGGGAAACATCCGTTGGAGAAAGGGGTTAAAATGAAATCAAGGCCGAAGAGGGTTGCTGGGGGAAGGAATCCACGTGAACACCGAATTCTATGTCCGAGAGAATTGAACAAGATGTTTGGATCGGCAGGCTTCCGTCCGCCTCTTTGCTGGCTACGGAAGGGGGTAGGCGGAAAAGATGAGGGGGGGGGGGGGGATCGGTCTCGACAACAACGTACTTGAGGAACAACAACCCACCTTAGGGGATGATCCCGGGCTCACGTCCTCCACGTCGCTACCCCCCTC